AAAATAAAGAAGAAAAGATAGAAGAAGAAAAAGAAAAAGAAGAAATAATTGCTCTGAAAAATCAAATTACTGAATTAAAAGAAAAAGTTAAAGAATATCAAGCAAAAAATGGAAGAAGAACAAGCGATTTCAGAAGAAATGATGAAAAAAGCAAAAGAAATAGTTAAAAAAGAATTTGAAGAAGAAATTACAGAAATGAAAACACAAAATAGAAAGATTCAAACGAATTATGAAGAAATGAAGAAAGAAAATGAAAAATTAGAAGAAAGAAATTTAAAATTACAAGGAAAAATAAATGAGATAGAAGGAAAGAAAATCACAGAAGTAAATAACAAAGAAGAAAAAATCCGAAGTATCCAAGCTAATAAAAAGAAGATAGAAAAAGAAAATGAAGGAATGAAAGAAGAAATTGAAAAGTTGAAAAAGAGAAACAAGATACTAGAACAAAATGCAAACACACTAGAGAAGAAGATTGAAATGATAGAAAAAAACACTGAAGAATTAAAGAAAGAAATAAGAGATAAAGAAAAACAAATCTCTGAATATCAAGAAATTGCAATTAAAAACCAAGAAATTGCAGAAATAACAAGAGAAGAATTAGACAACACACAAAAAGAAAATGAGACACAAAAACAAATAATATCAAAGCAACAAGATGATATTGAAAATTTTATTTCACAGAAGGAATTAGAGAAGAAGAAAACGATGACACTTGTGATAAATACACAACCAGTACTGAGGAAAGCATCATCGGGAACGATGGAGATGAACGAAACTACTCCTATGAAAAAGACAGTAGTGGAAATCGAAGAGAAAAGCAAAGCACTGATTGTCAAAAAACAAGAGATGATAGTCAGACAAGAAATACAACAAAACAAAGAAATAGAAAATTAATTGAAGTGATGTATTGTTTTGAATTAATTTGTTAAATAAGAAATTATATAAGAAATTAAGATGGGAACAAATAGAAAGTATAATAAAAGTGACAAACATCAATGTCAATATTGAAAAAGAATATATTAAATATATTAAAATGTCACATAAAATAAAAGAAAACATTAAACGATACATTAAAATGAAAGTAAATGATATAATAGAAGGAAGAGTAGAGTGTGATTCAATAATAAAAAACATCATATTAAAGAATAACTCTACAGAAATTGATGAAGAATACCTTAACACTCTCATCAATAAAGTAAAAGAAATGAAAGTAGAAAAATGTGCAAACATTAATTACTACTGGAAAAGAAAAGAAGCTGACCGACTAATAACGGAAATTAATAATAGATGGGTATGGTCAGGAAGCAGAATGCAGGATCTGCAAGATGATATGAAGAGGATTTCAATGATTATGCACCTCTATCTCCAAAATAAAATAATAAGAGATAAATTTGATGAAATAAAAGAAATACTAAAGAAAATTAATAGACTAGAAGATTTGGTCAAGGGAAGGAAATGGTACAGAATAAAGTGCATCATGAAATTAAAAGAACATGATGAAGAAGGAATAAAAGTTAAAGCACTAGAAAGAATAAAATACCTAAAATATATGATGACAATGATCAAAGAAAGAATTAAATTTAATAAAGATGAAAGGGTCAGAATCAATACAAATAAAATCATGTTTGATTCTAACAAGAAAATTAGAATAAGGAAGAAAGACCCAAAAAATGAAATATACCCAAATAACGATATTACTTTAGAATATTGGAAATCGTTATATGAAACACAGGTGATATTAAATAAAGATAATTGGAAAATAAAACAAATCACCTCGTGGAATGAAAGATATATCAATTATGATAGTGTCATTATAACAATAAATGAATTAAATTTAAGTATAATGAAAATAAGTAACTGGAAAGCACCAGGAATAGACACTATATATGGGTATTATTGGAAAAGGATGTCATCATCAAGAGAAATCATTCTCAATATCTTTAATGAATGGTTGAACTTCCCCGAAAACATCCCATTAGACATGGTAAGTGGAAGAACTTTATTAATCCACAAAGTGATATGAACGACGTCACTAATTATCGTCCTATCAGTTGTACAAATGTAATTATGAAAGTATTTACCTCAATATTAAAAGAAAAGATTCACAGAAGACTTAACATGAATTGTGAATCATTTAAAATTAGTAGCAACCAATTGGGATGTAAATTACAATCTTTAGCTGCTAAAGAAGGAATAATTAATAGTTATATGATGAAGCAGCAGAAAGAAGAAAAATACCCAAAATATGTGGAGTCATATTATGACATTAAAAAAGCATATGACACAGTAAACCACGAATGGGTAATTGAATCATTAAAATATTTTAATGTAGAGGGTGTCATCATAAACATGATTGAAAGTATGATGACTAGATGGAAGATATTCATCGGCTATAAATTTAATGAATATCTAGGATGTATTAAATTAAATAAATGAATTTTACAAGGTGATTCCTTATCCCCTCTACTCTTCATCATTCAGATGAATGTAATTTCTCAAATCATCGAAGAGAAATTCCCAAAAGCAAATCACACTTTATATATGGATGATTTGAGAATAATGACGGAAAGTAGTGAAGAAATGGGAATAATCCACAATGAAATTAAGGAAATAATAAGTGGAATAGGGATGGAAATGAATGAGAAAAAGTCAGGAATGGTATTAAAAAACATTAAAGAAATACCAAATGGAATGCAAAACATCCCAATCATTGAAGGTGAGGACTTGTATAAATACTTAGGAATATGGCAGTCCGACGAAATTGAAGATACCTTCAATTGTAAATCCATCAAAGAAAAAATGAATCAGAAGATGGAAGAAATAAACACTGATGAAAGTAGTAATAGAAGATATATTACTAGAATAAACACTGAAGTAATCCCTATCTTCAGATATTCAGCATCAGTTGTAAATTGGAAAATCACTGACCTAGATAAAATTGATTTGGAGATAAGAAAATATTTAAGAAAGGCAAAATACATTGGTGCCGGAAACTCCAAAGATAGGTTGTATGTCCCTCAAGAAGAAATGGGTGAAGGATTAATAAATATAAGGGACGAATATGTTATTGAATTAATTAGAACAGTGATGTACTACTGTACCAGAGAATGTGAAATAGGAAATAACATATTAGAAAGATGGTACAGTAAGAAGGGAATATGGAATAGAATTAAAAAAGCCCTAGGTCATAAAATCCCAGAAACAAAAATAGAAGAAATAATAAATGAAGGGATTGAAAATAAAAAAGAAAAAGAAGTAGTAGTAGAAATAAAGAAATTATTGACCGACCAATACATCAAAAAATGGAAGTCCCATCAAATAAGCGGACACTTCAGAAGATGGTTCGAGTCAAAAGGAGTAGATAAAATTACTACAGTGAAAGCATGGAAGTCATTCAATATTAAAAAGAATGTATTTCTCCATTTAACTAAAATGCAAGATGGTGCAATATTTTGTGGGTATAAAAAATCAAAAATAATGAAAAATGAAAGATTGAAATACTCCACAATATGTAAAGACAAGATAGCTACAGTAGAACACATTCTACTATCTTGTATTTATCATAAAAATCACAAATGGAAAAACATGACCATATAGGCATTATAATATGGGAGGGATTAATAAGAAAATATACAGGAAATAATCAATATAAAAACCCCATATGAAACAATGTTCAAATATAAAGACATCACAATGATATTGAACAAACAAATAATGCATAAAAGTGAATGACAATATCACAAAATACCAGACATATATGTATTAGATAAAAAGAATAAAACTTGTTTATTATTTGATATGACTATTGTGGCTGATCACAATATTAATTGAGTGTATTGGAAGAAAAGAAATAAGTATAAGGAATTAAAGAATATTCTAATGAAAATAGAAAAATTAAAAGATGTCAAAATAAATCCAGTAGTAATCTCAATCAATGGATTAATGAATAAAGAAAGTAATAAATTAATTAAAGAATTAAAAATTGAAATTGACATCGAGAAAGAAGTAAAAAACATTGTAATTAAAAACATGATGGATGTCATAGAATACTGCTTCAATCACAACCACACATACTCTGTAGAATTACTAGAAGAAGTATAAACTTATTTAGTCACAAATGAAGAAGGAAGAATAGAAATAATTCTATTAACATTGAATTAACTGCTTTACTTTTAATGAGAAACACTTTCTTTATTTCTTGAAACCCAATATTGTAAAGTACTTGGTGATAAATCACCATAAACATTACAATAATCATTTTGAAGAACTCGTGCTGCTTTAGACAATCCAATTAGTTTTGCTTTCTCAATTGCAAAAGCCTTTTCTTCAGGACTCCAAAATCTTTTTCCCTTTCCTTTCTTTGGCATAATTGCTTTAACAATTTTTGGTGTTTTTATAACTCGACTTTCTGACATTTCTATCATCGGACTTGGAGTAGAATGTATAACAGTTGGCTCATTATAAATTGTTACTTCATACAATGACGTTTCAACTGGTTTAAAGACTGACATTACCACTTCTTCTTTGATTGTGTTTTTTAATTCTTGAGTTGAGTTTAAATAATTGAAGGGTTTGGACATTTCCAACGATCTTTTTCATTTCCATGAATTTTCTCTTATTTTTCTTTTCAAAGTCTTTTTTATTTCTTTTAAGTCTCATTCTTAATAGTTCATTTTCTTACTATTTTATTCTCTTGACTTTTCATATTTTTCCTTATTCC